TTAGCAGGGAGGTATTTGGGAAGGGAGGAGAGGTGGGTCAGCTTCACAAGTCTGCTTTTTCCACCATTTTGCTTGGCAGATAAAATTACAACTAAAGCAACTTTGCTTTTTAAACAGCCACAGCCACCTATTTCTATCCTGAATGTGCAAGGGTTGAACAACACTCAGCCCAAAAGGGACAGATAATTCCCCCCAACCAGCACCTAGGCCCCTGCATGGGGGCAAGCACAGCAATACCTGTGTGCATGTAAAGACACCCCCAAAACCTGGGAAGGAAGCTGAAAAACCACCCTGCAAGAGCCCAGCTCCACGCAGTGCACAGATGTGCCCGGCTGCAGCTCAGGAACGAGGCAGAGGGAAGCAGGAAAGGGCAGCTCTTCAAAGAGAGGATTTACTGAGCTGTCCTATGGGCATTCTTGCAAAGACGTCCCCAGACACAGCTCAATCCCATCAGTTTGTAAGACATCCGTCTTGTCAGTGCTCACACTGCTGCTTTATACCCAGCCTTCGGGCATATCAGCTCCAGGACAGCCCTTGCCCTGACGGAAAGGCCTGAGGAGCTTCCCCTGCGGCCGCCCAGGACGCGGCAGGCCCGGCCGGAAGATGGCTGCACCCAAGCAGCCTCCTCCTACCACCTCCGCCTCGGAATGTGGAGAAAAAGGAGGATGAGACTTTGGAGCTGGCACCAGATGGCACTGTTACCTGGAGAACACCCTCGGACGAGCTGCGGCAGCAGCGGCCACGGCTTTGCTCGGGCTGCCCCACGCCGACTCGGCTTCCCCGAGGAGGCTCCGCTCCCTCGGGTGGTTTCTAGCCCCAGCACAGGCCACCAGCGCCACCAGTCCCCATTCCCGGGACTCCCCGACACGCCAGCGTGCGGATTCAGCAGTGTTCCTGCTTCCACGTGAAGAGATCCGCCCAGCAGCTCCTTCTGCAACAAAAGGGTCGCTCCAACTGCTGGCCGAGGAGGGAGACATTCCTTCCACAGGCCGTTTTCCGTCTTCCCGCTGGGCTGCCATGGGGCCGGCAGAGCACGAGTGACCCACCACTGCGTGGCCTCTGTCCTCCTTCCAAGAGGGAAAACCAGCAGCGACCAGGAGAACCGTGCAGCTCGCTTACCGACAGCCTGCAGGTCGCCGTGCCGCCTTCCTCCCGCTGCCCTTCCGAGTGGGGCTAAAGAGTATCTAAAAAATCATTCCTTAGCACTGACCTGCTCGCACGTGTCTCCTTTCAAACTCCAGTGGCTGTTTTGTCTGGTTTCCCCCCAACCAAGGGGAAGATGAGGGATTTTTTTTTGCCAAGCCCAAGCTTGGGGCGATGGTAACTCCATACAGGGAGACCAAGAGCAACTTCCTGCTCTCAACCAGGTTGGCAGCGGCAGTCATGATTTAGCTCGCAAGAACCTGCCTTGCAAAAACTGCCAGGGAACAACACGGGGGAGACGGATCACCAGAAAACTCACCGTGTCTGCTTTCCAGCTGGTTAGCTCATATGCTGCTGCTGTGAATACAAACCAGCCATTTAAATTAGCTTCTAATTGCTCACAATTATTCAGACACAGCAGAACCTGAGAGCAGCTTTAAGAGAGGCAAGAAGGAGAGAGAAAAAAAAAATGATTGAAGATGCCTAAGATTTTTTTTTTAAATAAGATTTATACATTCATGCTTTGCAAGCCTCAAGAAGCTTGCAGCCTCCAGCAATGCCATTTCCCCAACAGAGCCCGCTGTTTGATGGGTGCACTGCATGCATAAAAAGACTGGGAAGAAAACCTGCAGATTGTTACTGCCTTAATTTGTGGATCTGTCCAGTCCACAAATGCAGAGAGAGACTAGAAACATGCAGGGCGAACACTTTGGTTTACTCCAAGCTTTCGCAGTCTCCGCACACCCAGGCAGTAGGAGCAATGCTATTTATAAAACTGCTTAAAATTCTGGACACAGGCGGAGCTCTTTGATGGGATGTCAGCCATGCGACACCCCAACGTAGGAGGCTGACACAGGCTGGTTAGTGTAATACAGCCCACGGTTCTTTCCCTTTCTTTCACCCAGGGCCTCCACTAACACCCGCACAACAGTCCCCTTCCCCAAACACAGACATCGACGGCTCAGGACTGCAGCGGTTTTCTCTCCTAGGGTAAAGGATATTGCAGGCTATTATGTTTAAATCCACAACAAGCAAGTTTTGACTCACTCCTAAGACCAATATGCTTCCAGTTTGTCAAAAATCACTTTAGAGGACTGAATCCAAGACTTATGCTAATAATCAAATGCCCTCCCAGGCAGCAATGCTTGGGCTAGGTAGAGTCCAAGGGTTCATCTAGATTTTGGGAACACAAGTGGATATAATGGATCTCCTGGAGAAGACAAAGCATTTCTGGAAGGCAAAGCACAAACGGGTCTAGTCGAGAGCACAGCTGCTGCGTCATGGTACGTGCTCAAGTCAAACCGGGCAGCGAGTGCCCGAATCCTCTCGCCACGTCCTCGGGGTGTCACGTCTGCTCCAAAACAAGAGCATCTCTCTGGGGGATGAGCCTTGGTTCATCTCACAGGCCGGCCGCGCTCCGCAGGAGGAACGCTGCAAGGACAGGCGAGCAGCCTGAGGAGAAAAGGCAGAGCTTGGAATTCCATGAAGCAGGTAAGGACCAAAGTCAATCTGCTAGTTTAGTATGAAAATGTAAGACTCTCAGGCTAGTGTGTGTGGGGGAAGAATTTCACCTGCTAATGAGTGACATTAACAGGTACAATGGCTAATGCTAGCTTCAAGAGAGCACCCATATTCTGCAAAAGCTTTCTGTTAGCTTCCAAAGACAGGTTATTCAAGTCAGATATTGCCAAATAAATAGATGTCCTTGTGTTTAAGAGCAGCTCAAGCAAACTCTGGAATCCTAGAGACAGGAGCTATCCAGAAATCCCAGGAGCAGAGGGGCACACGTTCATTTCGGACCAGCAGCACAGCCCTTGCTGCAGGCAGCAGTTTGCAAAGCTCCTGGGCCAGTGCAGCACAACTGCATCATTGCCCCAAAAACTCAGCTGCATTTTCTCTTCACTGAGAGGTCTAATTATCCCCCCTCTCACCCATAACCTCTGTAGGAAGAGGGAACAACCCCCATTGAATCCAGAGGCCAGCCCAGAGGAGCTCAGCTCTTTAACACTTGCTTTTCTGCACTGGCCTTTTCATGCAAGAGGGGAATTCACCGCTTGGGGCCTGGCTGGGGGAAAAAATGGAAACACCCTCCAGGCAGAGCAGCTTCAATTCACTGCCTCCCCGCAACGCACAGCAAACAACCCTAAATTCCCCTCAATGACTCCGATAACCGCGGAGGGCTGGCGACAGCAGCGACGCACTAGGGACCACATGTAAAAGCCTTTCAGGCCATGACTTAGCTGCTCCTCTACAAGCTGCTTTTAGCTCAGCCCTTTCGCACCTTAGCGGGCTGATGTTTTCATTTCCCTCTTAGCCACAGCTCAAAAGCTTCCAAGTTTGTATTTAAAACCAGCGATATAACCGTATGACAGGGCTGTATCATCCTGCCTTCAGGTGTTTTCTATGCTGACTAAACCGTTTATCACAAGTTTTCCAGATCTGTGCCAACGATCCAAGGCAACGCAGCATTTTAGCCGGTAAACCATCCGAGAGCTGCCCAGAAATAACCCTCTCCTTCCCTGTGCCACTGGGGCAGGTTTTGAGCTTTTCAGCAGTAGTTTGGGATTATTAGAATCACAGAATGCTCAAGGTTGGAAGGGACCTCTAGAGATCATCCAGTCCAACCCCTGCACACGCAGGGTCACCTAGAGCACGTGGCACAGGACTGCGTCCAAGCGGGTTTGAAGATCTCCAGAGAAGGAGACTCCACAACCTCTCTGGGCAGCCTGTTCCAGTGCTCTGGCACCCTCACTGGTAAGAAATTTCTCCTTAAGTTCCTGTGGAACTTTTGATGTTTCAGTTTCGGGCCATTTCCTCTAGTTCTGTGGGCCCACTGAAAAGAGACCAGCCCCATCCTCCTCACTGCGTCCCTTGAGGTACTTCTAGACACTGCTCAGGTCCCCTCTCAGCCTTCTCTTCTCCAGGCTGAACAGGCCCAGCTCCCTCAGCCTCTCCTCATAGGGCAGATGTTCCAGGCCCCTGATCATCCTTGTGGCCCTGCGCTGGACTCTCTCCAGCAGCTCAAGGAATCGCCCCCATCCCTCCCCAGCCACTGAGCAAGCACTAGGCAGAGATGTCTATAGCCTGCAGAGGCCCCTGAGCCACCAACATGGGGGCACATTTAAATTTAAGGCCAAAACTCTTCATTTTTGCACTAATCCTTGCCAGTGCTTCCTCTCCTGCAAGCAGGAATTCCTCACATGGGAATACAGCTCTGCTGTACGAGTTTGGTACAGCTACAGTTTAGGAGACTCTACCACCCAACGCAGTCCAATACAGCATTGAAAATCACCAGAAAATGCATTTCCCAAGATGCTCAAAATGATTTTCAAGAATGGCACCAGAAGACTCCCTGGGCTCCCTCAGGAGCTCTCCTAGGCCAGCCACAAAGCTGAAACCTTCCATTTAACAAGAGCCATGTAAAACAGCAGGAGGAATGAAGTCTTGGAGAAGCTTGGAACTACTCCTCCAGGAGAAACGGTTGTAAAAGGTCATTTCTTACAGGGAAGCAGGGGAAAATTGATCGTTAAAGAACTGTGAGGTTGACTCTTTTCTTATAAAAGAAGAAACTTTTATAAGAAGTTTCTTATAAAAGAAAAGGACTAAAGTCTTGGTTTTCCCTTAACGGGGTTTAACAAGGAAGATGGCCCCCATCCCTCCTGTCAAGGCCCATATCCAACCTGCAAACCAGGAGGTTTTAGAAGACTTCCCAAATCTATAAGCCTTGAGTAGATGCAGGTGAACCCATCGTTATTGCCTTCCCAGATTAATATGACAAACACCCAAACTGTCTGCATAATATCAGCTATGAGAAGCCTTAATGAAGATCTGGTTAGAAAAGATGCCAAGGTGGCACCGGGGAACATCACATTGGACTCACCAGCCCAAAAGAAATACTGCTGAAGACAAATGATGCAGCTAATGGGTCACAAAACCACCCAGCCCTGTCCCTACAGCAGCACAAATGCAAACATATGTTTTGTACTTCTGGACATCTTTGCATGCCCACACTGCAGAGTAAAGGCAGTCTAGAGAACAACTGATCAATAGCCACCGCCTGCAAAATACATTTTACCTTCTTAAACCAAGCCAGTTATCCTTGACAGGGAGCCCCATATGTCCTGGAACTGTAATTTACTTGATGTCTCCTTCCTTCAATGACTTTTTTTTTTTATGAGGATCTATTACTATGTACGCACACAACTGGAAAGCGAATATTTTGCTTTAATATCGTACTGTTATGTGCCATACACATACCACACTCTGCGCTTTAATGATTTCCGTCATAATAGAGGGATTTCAGCCCATCACAACCCCAGTGAATCACTGAGCCATCAGCTCATAGTAGTTTTGAAAGAATTGTGAAGAAAACCTTACAAGAGGGTTCGGAAAGCTCTGCTCCCGAGAGCTGCAGAGGTGCCGTCTGCTGCTCTTCATCCTCTTTGCTTACAGCAAAATGGAGGCCAACCACATCCGACAACCGCTGGCAGGACACTCCTGTGGCTAAAGAGGTGATTTTTTACAAGAAAAGATTCCCCAACTCTGCAAGGCACGTGTGGAAAGGCACCGTCTCACCAGCCACCGAAACGCAGCCACCAGAAATAGGCGAGTTATTAAGCAGTGGCTGATAGGAAGCCATTTAATAGAATATATTCTGCATATAAAACTCAAGCCACTGGCAGGGTTAAGTGGGATACTGAAGAGGCAGAAAGGACAGTAGAAGATGCTTTTTTTTGCTGCAGAGTTGACAGAACCAGGGTTGGTTCTGTTGCTACAACCTAAACCACCCCAAAAGCACCTGATGCAGCAGAATGCTGCAGCTAAAGGTCCTCAGCTGTGAGCATGTGCACAATATAACTAATTATGAGCCTTGGCCTTGCTGCCAGGAGGCATTTGGTGTCTCTCAGATGAGTTCCCGACACCCGCAGGGGTGTCGTGCACCACGCGCCTTCACAACGCTCCGTTCAGAGCCCGGGAAGCAGCTTCTGCACCGCTTTATCCACGTTCACTTCCCGTCGCCCCAAAGCCGCCTGCCTGCCCCGCGGCCGCGTAGGCAACACCGAGCTGCTCCCACCGGGTACCCAACGGAGCCTCGCGCCGCACTGCTGCCCTCTTGCCCCTTGTCCTCAGCGCTTGAGGCTGAGGATACACATGTGGAGAGAGCAAAAACAGCAGAGGGGTTGCTTAATTAGATATGAGTCATATTAAATGGTATATATGTAGGAACAGGTTTTCCATTTGTGCGAGGAACTCACTGGATTATCTACATGAAATGGGGCCATACAGTGATGGCCTTTAATTTTATACACTTAACTCTGACCTATGTGCCCTACCTCAAAGGCAGCCCATCTGCACAGGGAACTTGCCCACTTAGCTCCAGTATTTTTCCAGGGTTCTGCAGGAGATGGATGGAGCGGCCTCATGTCAGATGAGACAAACACCCGCCCTCCTGAGGCTCCAGGAGAAAGGAGGAGCCATTGAGATCCCATAAGTGCCCGCGAGGCATTAGCCACAGGGCCGGCGGCTCATTCCAAGTAGGACAGGGCCGCACTGCAAAGGGAGAAGACCTAAAACGAGCAACTCTGGAAGAAAAACACAGGTTAACTGTCATGAGCTTGCAGGGAGGAGGGGGGAGGAAAAGAAGCCTGATTTGATCTGTGTATTCTCCCCATCAGAAAGCATTTCAGGTTTAGGCTTTTTCAATCCCATATCAATTTCACAGATTAGAAAAGCTGGCAGATTTAACAAGCTAAACCACATAGTTTTCCCTGCCTTCTCCACCGGCAGCAGCAGTGGGGGCCGCAGCCGCCTCAGAGCGCTGTGAGGCAGTGAAGCAGCCACCCCATGGTGAGCGGGCCCGCGACGGGCTGGTACAGAACAGGGACGGCGCCGCAGACAGACCCGAGATCCCAGCAGGTAGGAGCTCACTAAGGGTGCGTAACCAAGCCACAAATTAAAAATTCCCTGATTTTTTTCCCTTCTGTTCACATCAAGCCAAACAGAATTACCAGAGGGATCAGGTGCAGAGTCCCCTCCAAGCAGAGGGAAGCAAACAGGCCCATCTCTTGCACTCCCAAAGTCCTTTCCATCACAAGCACAACGGCCACCAGAAACCCCATGGGTTTACACGGAGATACTCACCTATTTTTTCCCTTTAATTCTGGCTGGATACAAGTAGGAAGCCACGGAATGAAAGGGCAGTTTAAGGACCTCCAGCTCCCATTCCTCCCAGCTTCTCCCCCAGCAGGGTCTCCGTGCAGGTCAGCATCGTGTTTCCTCGCAAGGTTTGCCATCCTGACCACCAAACTTGAGGAAATTACCAAACTGAGCCGGCCTAGAACACCATGGGCCCTGGCAAGGAAACCAAGGATGAAAAGGGGAAGCCTGCTCATCTCCCTGCCTCTCCTCCCAAAGCCCCCTGTGGAATTACTGCTTCTTTCACTGTTTTGAGTGCTGTTTTCAAGTCTCAACCAGGCAGATGTAACCTGGGA